AAAGATGGATTAATAACAGATATGGAAAAAGCTGCAAGAGCTAAATCCTGTACACAAGATTCAGAAGGCTTTAAGGTTCTTGAATAACTTGGTAAGAGATACTGGGGACAGTGATGGATCCCATCAGCCAGCATCTAGGGCTGCTTTACTCCAGGTGCCTCATACGGAGCCACAGGAGGAGTCTGCCAGTACTTGGTAACTATTTGCCAGGTGACACCTTCACACACAAACTGCTTCCTAAGGTACTTCAGAGAGTCACTTCTACAGAAGAGACTTTTTGAAGAACAAGAGAAACTTTTGTCAAATTTGCCCCAGAGAAGGTAGGTGAGGAGCGAGGCCAGGAGGAATGACCTGCCTCATGCATCAGCAGTCCTTACAGGAGGCAGAAAAGCCCCTTATGGGAGCAATTAGAAAGTAAGAGCACACAATATCTTTCACTTATTTATTAGTTTAAAAAAAAAAAAGAAAAAAAAGCCAAATACATTTAGTACCTTACAAATGTGACATATCAATACTTCTCAGAAAAGGCATACAGCTAACTGCTGAGCAGTTTGTTTGTCCTTGCACCTGAACGCATTATATTCCCTCAGAGCCATTAGGCCAGCTCTGCACTCTCAGCACAGCCTCTGTGCTTGCTGCCCTTCCCTCACCTGTCTGCATGGAGAGCAGACCCATGACCTACTTTACTGCATCTATCGTTCTTCCACACTTCAAACTTCATGAGGGATTCAAGGGAACTAAAACCAACATGAAATCAAATAGCTCCCAAACCCACCCTCCTCCACAAAGCTTGCTGTGTAGATGATGATCTATTATTTAGGAATAGCTTCTGGACAATCTCATATTATCCAGAAGGTCCCTACGTGGTTTCAGCAGAAAACTGCTCACTCCAGGGAGATGATAGGAATGATGTAAGCCTGGGCTGTATTATCAGGCAGAAAACATCGTGTTTAGAAGACTGATACAAAGTGGAATGGAATTGTGCCTGAAAAGAAACAGCCTTCTGATGCCAGCATGCCTTACTCCCCAGTTCCAGCCACAATGTCTTGGTCTCAGTGCTTACCAATGATAGGAACAACTCACTTGCCACAGTTCCAAAGATCTGTAAGACCTTGTACACAAGAGGCAACAGAGAAAACAAGTTTCCTGATCAGAACTGCCCAACTAATCAAAGGCACTGGAAGCAGTAGCAAGAAACGGAGGGGGGGAATGCTACACCTACACCATGCTCCTCCGTACCAACGGGTAGGGTACCGTCATTATGTGAAGTGTACACTAAAGCGTAAATTTACACTTTATGAGCTATTCTAAAATCTGCCCTGCTTAATAATCTGTATCAGCAAGAAAACACTTTAAAGTGTCTCTCACAATTAAACCCAGGCACAACCTTGTATAAATCAAAATTTTGCTACCATATCAAAACGTTACACTGGGGCTGTATAATGTTGCCCATATCCTCATTACATGCTACACTAATTACTACCAGCAGATTCAGAATTTTCTGCACATTAGAGGCTTTTAGAGGAGCTATAAAAAATTTCAGGCACCATTAATTTAAATTTGTATTGAAATTTCCTTTTGACAGATGGCCAAAAATTACTTATTATTTAGAGTACCAGAGCTGCCTGTTTGCACATTAGAAGAGGAAAGGGAAAAATTAAAAGCAAGAAAGAAATTTATGTCACGTTCATTACCTGCTAAATGTTAGGGAGTATTATCCTGTATGAATAAATTATTTCATACAAGCACACAGACTCCAGCTGCTGGCAACTGGCACATTCTGGCTGACAAAAAACATCTCAAGTCACATAGCAGATGATCATAAAAAGCCTCTCTTAACCAGGAGCCACTTAAGGGAGGACAGATCGATAGAACAAGCAACTAACTGCTACTCTGGGCATCACTGAAAACATTTAAGGAAATTAGCAAACTATTTCACCTTGCAGAGCTGGAAGCAAGCCCTGTAATGCTGACACACAAGGCAACTCACAACCTGAACACAGTATGAGACAAACATTTACTTGTCATTTCGAAATAAATTAGTACAAAGTGGTGACACCCTCTTCTCAGTCTCAGAAGCTGTATGGTAACAGTGTGTTTGAATCATTCTAAGTAACTTCAGAACAACCAAAATTGGCCTTTTCACATAAACACCACCACAATATTCATACCAGCATAAAAACTCAACATCCCACAGATATTAAAGGAACAGGACTAATACATTTAATATAATCATATATTTAAATAATATACTTAGTTATATTTGATACACTAGTAGTTCTATTCATTCACCCTCCTGAGTGGAAGGTCTGTGATTTCAAGTATCCAGGTAAGCAAATCTACTTTAAGAAATAAAGTGTTTTTTATATTCACAGGTTTAGATATCTGCCTTACCTGTACTTTTTTGTCTACGTACAGGGACAAAAGGAAAAAGAAAATCTACTAAAATTATTTGCTCAGAGAGAACAAGGGATGTTCTGCCAAAATCGTCATTAATCTGTGCCTGCTTTCACTGCACAAAGCAGTAATTCCAGTTTCTAGCTCTCATGACAAAGAAGACGAAGTGAAATCCGACATGTTGTTTTCCTATGTTTGCAGATAGACAGCTTCAATGCCTTCGCTGCTCACAGTAAAAACTGACAGTTCCTGTCAGCTCCCAGTTCTTATGCAGAACCATGTGGCTAACAGTAAAATTGACAACAATCGGCTCCATTTCATTCTGTGGGGACGCAGCAAAGTTGCCAGTGGCAGAATTAGATATGTGGGGATGTGCGCAGGGCATGTGCCCACCCACAGGTGCTGTAAAAACAAGGGTATGTCTCCATGCACAGCAACCCCCAGGGGACAGGACTCTGGCAGGCAAATCCTAGCACTGTGCTTCTCCTGATTCTGTCCTCAGCTCATGATTAATAGAGAATCACACAATATCCTCAGTTGGAAAGGTCCTACAAGGATCACTAAGTCCTACTTCTGGCGCTCCACAGGACCTCCCAAAAATCAAACCATAGTTCTGGGAGCTCTGTGCAAACACTCCTTGAACTCTGGCAGCTTGAGGCCATGCCCACTGCACTGAGCAGGCTGCTCCATGCACACTGCCCTCTGGTGCAGAACCCAACCCTAACCCCCAGCTGCCCTCCCCTCACACAGCTCCATGCCGTTCCCTCGGCCCTGCCGCTGTCACACAGAGCAGAGCTCAGCGCTGCCCCTCCGCTCCCTGTGAGGAGCTGCAGCCGCCATCAGGCCTCCCCTCAGCCTGCCCTGCTATGGGCTGAACGCACCCAGGGACCTCGGCTGATCCTCACACACCTTTTCTCCAGACCCTGCATTATCTTTGTAGCACCCCTTTAATGCTCTCTAATGGTTTTATGTTCCTCTTACATCGTGAAGCCCGGTGCTGCACCCAGTGCTGTAGGTGAGGCTGCACAGCACAGAGCAGAGCAGACAGCCCCTCCCCTCGCCCGCTGGCAGTGCAGGGCCTGCTGCACCCCAGGTACAGTTGCCCTTTGGGCTGCCAAGGCACACTGCCGGCTCATGTTCCTCTTGCTGTCAACCACAGTGCCCAAGCCCCTTTCTGCAGGGATGCTTTCCAGTCTGTCATCCTGCACTCTCTACAAGTATCCAAGACCGCACCATTCCAAGTGCAAAATTCAGCACCTGCTCTTGTCAAACTTCATGGGATTAGCAACTGCCCAGTCCCCTAATTTGTCAGCATCCCCCCAAGGAGTCCTTTCTACTCTCAAGGGAGTCAACAGCTACTCCTGTTTTAACATCGGCTACAAATTGGCTCAGTATGCATCCAAATCACTTACAAAACATTGAAGAGAACTGTCTCTGTAACGGAGCCCTAAGGGACATCCTGCTGACCATTCCTGGTATTCTCATCAAAATACACCTAAGACCTGTGCTGTGAACACTTCTTCTGCTGTTTGGACAATCCTAATAAATCACATATTTCGAAGAAAAACACTGCTGAAAACTTGATGAATCAGTTGCAAGTGCTCACTAAGGTGGGTGTACATCTTGCCCTTTGTAATACAAGCACCTCTTCCATTTCGTACTCACAACCATCTAAAAATGCTTAATCTTATGCTCCTTAAGATTGTGAAAGCTGCTCAAGCTCTAAGCTGTAACTGCATCCAGCTTCCCAGGTCTGTGCAGGTAAGTGTGCAACTGGCAACAACTGCTTCTGCTGTAAGCTAGTAAATGGCCAGGAGCAGACAGGAGACTAGATGGATCCAGGAGAGGGCAGAGCCCTGATATACCTCCCCACTCATGGCATTAAAACTCCAGGAGCCTCTCTGAGACTCTGATGACAATGAAGCATGGACAGGAATCCAGGCAAATATGTTGAATCACTGCAGTACACACTGCTGAATGCTCAAAATTACATGAGCTGCAAGATATGTGTTACATCTGCTTATAAACACTACCATTCACAGGACAGTGCATGTATGTGTGCTACAGAGTCATTCACAACCTGAAAACTGACTTTTGGAAGGGGAAAATAGGAATCTTATGTGCCTGCAGAACAGGAAATGGTAGGCTCTTTCTCTCCAGTCAGCAAACTGCTGCTGAAACAACAGCAATGAGACCCCCACATTTTCTTTGCAAGTGACTCAGCCTTTCTATCCATAACTGTCTTGAGATGACATCACGTAGATCTATCAGAATTTTGGTTTTACAGCTGCCAGGGACTTCTGACTGTTTCCATTTCATAAGCTTATACAGAGATTCATGGTTGCCCTCTTTACCATATCTGGAAACAGCCTTAATGCTGAGGAGCCAGTCAAAGAAGCAGGAGTGCTGTTGCCAGCCTCACTGCATACATGACCTGCAATTCTAGCTCTACCATCTAATGGGTGATAGACAGCCTATCCAGGACTCCGTTAATGAGCATGAGAGTCATGGCCCAGTTTCGCCTGGTGACCACCACTATAGGCCATGTGTGCACTGGGCAGCTCTTTTGAACCACCCCTCCCACCTACAAAATGGAGTCCTACCTTGATGGAGTCTCTGTCTGCATGTGGAGAAGCCATCATGTGCATGGAGGACAGAAGACAGCAGCAGGAGATGAGGAGGAGAAGAGGAAAAAGAAAAATACCAGTTAGTTTACATAAAATTATACATTTATCATACTCGGAAAAAAAGAATTCTAATATCTGTTAAATAATAAATTGCACAGATGTTAGCTTTTTGCAGTTAATTATTAATATTTCACAGCCAAATTTATGAAACTGGAACTCCACCATTTGAACACACCTTCTAGCTACCAGTAGGCAATAAATACTAAAGCAATTAGCAAGTAATTCTTGCAAATGTTTTTAATTGTTTTTTTTTCCTAGAATAGAAGCAGGAGAATTAGAAGAAAAAGAAGAAAACAGAAATGAATGAAGCCGTCCACTCATCTGGCAGCACTCACCTCTTTGGTGATCATTATCATGGTGCTTTTTTTCATCCTTGATTGGGAGGTGTGACTGCCCTCCCAGCGCACTAGACAGTGCCAGAAGGCCAGCACTGCTGCCAATGGGCGGGATGGCTGGAGGCTGCAAGCCCGAAGGGTGCGGAGTCAGAGGTACAGGGAGACCATGTCCATGTGACAAATGCTGGGCCTGGAGTTGTTGCTGCTGTGAAAAATGAAACACAGATATTGAATTTGTTCAGGGAGCATAGGGCTGTTTGCCTGATCCCGTACATCAAACACAACCAGTCAGATCAGCCAATACAACTGACTGACTCAGGTATCAACACTCAACAACACCCTGGCATTTTATAAATGTGTGTATGTTTGGATACAACACAGTCTGTAAACTTCGGGCTGAAATAACAAAAATGAAAAAAAAAAAAAAAGGAATTTTCCAGTTTTAGTAAAAATGGTGTTTTATTCCTCTGACAGAGCTATTATATTTTATTCTTGCTAGCAGAAACACACCATGTACACATCTAATCAAAGCATATGTAACTATAACAGCAGTTATATAATGCAAAAAAAAAAAAAAAAAGCTGAAAATTGAGAAAATTAGCGTTAAACAGTTCTCCCAGCGCTACTGCACAGCATGCAGTGAGAGTTAATTTGAAAGAGAAAACCTGAATTAACAATCCAGAAAAGGAAACTGGTTGCAGCCACCGTTTTAAGCCCTTTAAGTGTCCTCAGCGGTACTTGAGCAAATTACTAAAGAAAATCTAATGTAGCAAGGCTTGGGTCCTCCTGTAGGCTTGTTCAATAATGCTGAAATAATTGGGCACTCTGTGCACGTTTAGTGATGCTTGAATGGAAAGCTAGAGGCCTGCCCTTGTACTGTTCTCTAGCTGCTGACTCTGTGTTGTGACAGGTTTATTTGAGTGGGACTGTGATGCATGCACCAGTAACTGCGCTGACAAGAGTTTAAAGTCATTTTTACCAGTACACTGGCAACACATAGAGAAAGCCCTTGAGAGGGGCGAATTGGGAGTGCTTGACCTCAACCAGGGCTGCAGCAAGCTCTGTGCTATACTAACCACTGTGGGTAGATAGTTTGTTGCTACTGAATGGGAAGGCCAGAAAAAAAGTTAGCTTAAATGCCTCTCAAGAAAGATATCTAGGTTCAAGGTTTACCCACCAACTAATTCCAACTAATTCCAGCTCATTCAGTAACTAGATTAGCTCTGAAATTTTCTTTTAACTTTCAAGCAGTCACTTCTTATAGCTCATAGTAAATCAAATCAGAAACCCTCTAAGATCATTCTCTTCCCTGCACGTCTTCAAAAAGGACTTAGGAAGAGGAAGAAATAAAAACTTGTTTTGCATAAAAACATTCCGTCTGCAATTTCTTACTACACGGCTAAGCTTATACTTCTGTTTTTCATCTGAATATGATTTCCCATCTCACATTCTAGCTCTCTAATCAATCAAGAAATAATGTGCAGCCCACCTGATTGTTCCCTCCCCTCTTTAGCATGAATCTTTACATATGGGTGAGCTGAAAGTGAAAGAAAGCAAGTCACACGCAACATGTCACCTAACTCATGCAGTACACTGCACAGGTACATCCCTCAACACCTTCTTGTGAAGGTACGGATCCTTGTCTTACTTTTATAAATACAGCCCAGGCTCTGGAATCTGAAAGGCGATGGCAAATACATGACACCTGATTTAGAGCAGTGCCAGGAACAGAAGATGAACGACCCAAAAAGAAGTGTGGAAAAAAAAACACAGAGAAACACAAAAAGTAAGAAGAAAAAAAAAAAAAAAAAAAAAAAAAAAAAAAGAAAGCCAGAAAGATTCTTCCAGGAGAAGAAAAGAATCAGACCTCTCACTGCCTGCAATCCTATGTCATTCAAGTAAGTATCCATTCTCATAGATGTATCAAACACATTTTGTTTCTCCGGTGCTCTGATGCAAGGATGCTTCATTGCTCAGAATTTAAAATCAACTATAACAAAATGAAACAAGAGCAAACTGTGTGTTGTTTAGCTTCAGGGTTTGACTGGGGCTTCCTTACAGCAAGGGAACAAGCTGGCAAATTGGATTTGTGGTGGACTGGAGGGATGTCAGAGAAAGAAAGAAAAAGAAGATAAGCAGAGAAACAAAAGGAGTGGACAAAATAACCTGTGATACAGAATATCAGCTTTCATTTTAAATGCAGAATTCCCCAGTCCTTTTAAAAACATACTATAAACCAGTGCAAGAAGATGTCTGCCTTAATCTGCCAGGGGCTTGAAGCAATGAAAAGAGCCTAAGAATATCATCAGTGATAGAGCTTCTGGCCTTGTTAACTATTTCAAAGTTGATAAAAAAATGCAAGGAAAATTGCACTCACTGCACACTTCTGTACAATCTACAGAGAACCAACTCAATTTGCATTATATGACCTCCTCCACGGATATGGGATGATTTCCAAAGAGCTTGAAGTAAACTGCAATGCAAATGTAATCTTTTGCTGTTCTTTGTTGGGAGTTTCACTACATAACTCAGCAACAAAGTAGAAGAGATTCTGCATCTTCAATGTGCCAAACATTCTTAACATCTCCCAGACATTATAAATGCACTGAGAGTAGTATGTGTAACTGCACATCAGTGCAGTGGCTTGACACTGCCCAGAACTGCATAGTTGACCAGGAACTGATGATTTCTCCACAGCCTGACTTGCAGAGATCTTTGAAACTAACTGAAGAGAGTGGGGAGGAAAGAAGAAAGCAAGCAAATAAAAACAACTAAAAAACAATATTGCACTGACAAAGGAAGACTATAGTTAAAAAAAAAAAAAAAAAAAAAAAAAAGTGAAAATGCTAGGTGTATTTTGCTCTCAGAATACAATGCGAGGACAAAGTTGGCAGTAAACATGTCAAATAAAAAAAAGGAAAAAAAAACAACCATAAATGATCATCTAATAAGCCCCGTTTTCCAATAAGCATACTCAGGAAGGCAAAGACAGAAAATGGCAGAACCTTCTCAGCTGCCATTTCCAGACCTTTGACATCTATTACTATGCTCAAAAGCCCACAGCATTCACAGTTTAGTTTTGCTTTTTCACTCCCCATCAGTGTCACCAGTGAACATTAACTTCCAGGATGGCCTGTCTATAGCTGCTTGGTTACAGAGAAAGCTAGAGAAACACAGGCAATTCCTTATCCACTGGGCATCACATTAGCACCACAACACGATAAGAAAAAGACACGGGCTGCTCTCTCTCCCTCAAAAAGCCAAAGATACAGAGGAGTAAAACAAGTGGCAGATATGCTCCCCACACAGAAACATTCCAACAGAGATAGTTGTTTACATTCATTTCTCCAATACAATGAATTTAGATCATTGCAACACAGAATAATAGAATAACAGAATGGCCTGTGTTGAAAAGGGCCTCAAAGATCATGTACTTTCAACCCCTCTGCTATGTGCAGGGTCGCCAACCAGCAGAACAGGCTGCCCAGAGCCATGTCCACAGCCTGGCCTTGAATGCCTCCAGGGATGGGGCATCCACAACCTCTTTGAGCAACCTGTTCCAATGCGTCACCACCCTCTGTGTGAAAAACTTCCTCCTAGTATCTAACCTAAACTTCCCCTGTCTCAATTTAAGACCATTCCCCCTTTTTCTATCACTATCCGCCCTCGTAAACAGCCACTCCCCCTCCTGTTTACATGTTCCTTTCAAGTACTGGAAGGCCGCAATGAGGTCTCCCTGCAGCCTTCTCTTCTCCAAGCTAAACAAGCCCAGTTCCCTCAACCTTTCCTCATAGGGGAGTTTCATAAAAATTTAAAATTTAAAAGCCTGCAAGGAAAGCCTGAAAATGAGCCAATTGAGCAATCACGTAATTTTTTGATGTTGCTGTAATGCTTTCACTTCCCACTTCTCCATCTCCTCTTTAATTTGCTATTCTTAGTCATGTCATTTGTGAACCCTTACAATGCTGTTAGCTTTCCACAGTCCTAGCATATCTGAATGCACTATGCATGAAATCAAGTATGCATTTTCATAATGGATGAAAATTTGCAAAGGCAGTACACCAGGCTATATTTTGCTGTAAGTTTTCGAGAACTATTTGAAGAAAACAGCTACTACAAACACCCCAAATTCCTTCAGTTACCAAGAAATACACAATGCTGTTAGGTTTCAAAGTTTTTAAGAACTATCCGAAGAGTAAAAATATAAGAGCAAGGATAAAACCAGTAGTCAGAAAGAAGTCAAAAAAGAAAACTATTTTTGGTAATAAATTTAAGAAGATAGTTTGTTATTAAAATCTATATTAAAATTTTGAGACTTATTAATATATATCAAATAGAGTATAGTTGCGACTTATCTGTTCTTGTTTTTTAAACTCTGAATATTCTCCTACATAGTCTACAGTAAAAAGGAAAAAAAATAATTCCCAAAGCCATGTCTAAGAAGTGAATAAAAAGGCTTTGCAAAAGATACTTACCTGAGTATCACTGATTTTTACAACTGGAATTATAAATATTGATGCTTTATTTAATTCTTATCCCCATACATCTTAAGAGATCAAATTTAAAGCAAAATATGAAAATAAACGCAATAAGAAATTAGCTTCTAATGCTCTCTTGTTATAGCCAGCACATCAAAAGCTTATTCTCCTGGAAAAGGTTCAAGTTTTTACTGGATACTTTCCAAGAGTCAAGTAATCTACCATCTTCCCCTCACAGACCCTGAAAGCACACAGCCACTATCCAAACAATCTGAATATACACCTCTAACCTGAAGGCATTTCTAAAGTTAACAAATGAATGCCTCAAAAAGATGTATCTATACACATGCACACACTATCCATACCTGCTGGGGAGGATCACCAAAATATCAGAATAAGACAGCTTTATGAAATTCATCAGGTAAAGTGATTTCTTGTTTAAACAAGAGATTTGTTATTATGACAGCATAAATACAAAATGACAATTGAGATAAAGATTATTGAGATAAAAACAGTGGCTCAAGAATATAAAATATCAGTGTTTCAAAGACTAGTAAGAAATGGAAGCATTTTGGCGTGGACAGCTATAGATTTTATCTTGTTTTTATCTTTCATGCTTGTTCGCACCTCCTGATATTATCTGCACTGTATTTCTTCTCTTTTCTGGCATACCATTCCAATACAGTTTTTTTGTTTTGTTTTGTTTTTTGTTTGTTTTTCTTTTTAT